TATTGTATACTTGATATTTACTAAGAGCATGGATCTTAAGTATTCTTACCCCAAAAAGGAAAGAAAATGGTAATTATGTGAGATAATGAATATGCTAATTAGCTTGATTGTGGTGATCTATTCATAATATACAAACATCAAGGGGCGCCTGGGTGGCTCAGTCCGTGAAGCGTCTGCCTTCAGCTCAGGTTATGATCCCAGGGTCCTGGGATCGAGCCCCGCATCGGGCTCCCTGCTCAGCGGGAAGCCTGCTTCTCCCTCTCCCACTCCCCCTGCTTGTGTTCCTGCTCTCACTGTGTCTCTCTCTGTCAAGTAAATAAATAAAATCTTTTTAAAAAAATTTTAAAAAAAGAAACAGATCCTTAACTATAGAAAACACACGGATGGTTACCAGACAGGAGGTAGGAGGGGCAATGGGTGAAACAGGTGATGGGGATTAAGGAGGGCAGTTGTTGTGATGAGCACCAGGTGATGTATGGAAGTGTTGAATCACTACTATACACCTGAAAGTAATACTACACTAAATGCTAACTGGAATTTAAATAAAAATTTAAAACCTTCCCATTTATATGACATTTTGGAAAAGGCACAACTATAGAGATGGTAAACAGATCAGTGGATGCCAGGGGCTCAGGGTGGGGAAGGGTTGAACCAGTGAAGCACAGAGGATTTTTTTAGGGCAGCGAAACTATTCTGTATGATACGGTAATGATGAATATATGACACCACGCATTTGTCAAAACTCAAAGAGCTTTAGAGCACAGAGTCAAACTTGTAAGATGCAAAACTTGCAAAAACCATTTAGAAGGTGGGAGAGTCCTACAAAGGAATGTAGAATGATAGGAGAACCTAACCGTATTATAAATATATGAAACAACCTCATTGAAGCAGGTGAGGGGGAAAGGTGCTGACGTAAGTAATTTTGGAAATGAGTGGAGTCTGTAAATAAAAAACAAAAGGAACTCTAGTTGATAAAGTGTGCGATGGGTTAACAATTCTGAAATCATTATACATGTATATTAGAATTGAACTATTAAATAAATTCATGGTAGATGTGAGAGCCAGGTTTCTCACTACAGGAGTTATAGGCAAGCAAGAGCAAGAGGCTAGAATGATCCATGTGGTAATAGATTAGAAATGGAGGTATCAACATGAACTCATGTTTACCTTCAGATATATACAGATGGTTACATATAGAAATATTTACAGGTATGTGTCTATGTACGAATTAGTATACACACATACAATTCTTTGCTGTCAGCTAAGAGGGCCTAGAAGCAATGACACTCCAGTAGCCATGAGCACACCTGTGGCCAGCTCAGGGCTTCTAATACCATTCCCCGGTGAAAGGAATCAGGACCCCTTGGAGAATTGGCTCATTCTAGAAGTAGGGCAGGAAATATGCAAGATGAGTCTGGAGCATCTTGCAGTGCCAGAAGGTAAGGAAGTGGGAATACGTCAAAATGACACAGAAACTATGCAAAAGACTCTCAAAGGCTAAGCTGGAAGAATTTGTGCAATTAAATAAGTAATGTAGTATTGGATTATATCCCAAAGTAGCAAATAGATATTCATGAGTCCATATTAATGTAAACAGATCATTGAATAAATAAATGGGAGAGAATAGGCGACTAACCTAGGCAGAAGAATTCCAAATAATTTGTGTAGATACTTTGCGCTCAAGGAGCTATCCTTAAGTGTGACTGCAGAGTGACTCCCTTCCAAAGAATAAAGTATAAAAGGAGAAAAAGAGTAACATTACCTCAACCAGGTGATCCAGGTTAATATCAACAGTGAAAAGTCATAATAATAGTATATACCCTTGATATGATAAGAATGATACTTTACTTCTACTGTCTTCCTCCTAAAAATTAATAACCCCTGTCTAATCATGAGAAAAGTATCAGATGAATTCCAATTGAGGGACATTCTACAAAATACTTGAGCAGTATTTCCCAAAACTGTCAAGGTCATCAAAGAATAAGAAAAGCCTGGGGCAGCTGGGTGGCTCAGTCAGCGAGTGTCTGACTCCTTGATTTCGGCTCGGGTCATGATCTCAGGATTCTAAGATGGAGCCCCACCTTGGACTCCCCCCTGGACATGGAGCCTAATTAAGATCTTTCTTTCCCTCTTCCCCCTTCCCCCTCTCTCCCTCACTCTCTCTAGAATAAATAAGTAAATCTTTAAGAAAAAAAAAAAAGGAAAGTCTGAGAAACCATGACAGCCAAAATGAGCTTAAGGACACAGAACAACTATAGTGGCATCCTGGATGGATGGAATCCCGGAACAGAAAAAGGACATTAGGTAGAAACTGAGGAAATCTGAACTAAGTATGGACTTTAGTTAATAATAAAGTATCAACATTGGCACATCAATTGTAATAAATGTATATATTTATGTAAGATGTTAGTAATAGGGAAACTGGGTATGCGTATATGGCAATTCTCTGCACTAACTTCATAATTTTTCTGTAAATCTGAACTATTCTATAATTAGGTTTATTTTTAAAAAGAACTCCATTCATGCACAATCCCAGATTTTGAGGCTTGTGTCACATTGCTCTCCTCATTATTATCACCCACTGTCTTCTTGGAGATATACCCGTATTCAGAGTACTTTATCATCTACCTCATCTTCATTCCAAGACTCTTCATCATTGAGGCTCTTCCTCATTCATGTGGACATTCCGTCCAACACCATGCCTAACACTTCATCCATTTGTTTAATTCCAATAACTATCATACACTTTCTGTATCAGCCACTCACTTACAGAGCCATATAGTACTACCTCTACACTTTGAATTGCTGACCAGACTACAGCCTTCTATTCCCATTCACTTCCTTCTTTCAGAGTCATAGAATTCCTGACTTTAGCTTGAGAGTCACCTAGGATAAAGTATACTTCCCCGATTTCCTTCTGCTACATGTGACCCATATGACTAAATTCTGGCCAGTGATGTATCACTTTTGTTATAGGTCCTTCTCTTATCCTCTTCCTCTTTCATACTGACTGAAATGTGTATTAATGGCTGGAGTTCCAACATCCATTTTGGATCATGAGGTGACTCTGGGAATGGAAGCCACATATGGGGGAACTGCGAGGCAAAATCCCTGGGTCTCTGATACTATAGTAAACTGACCCAATTCTGATTGCATACCTCTGGAACCTTACGTAAGAAAAACTTCTATCTTAAGTAACTGTTATTTTTAGGTTTTCATCAATCTTAGTTAAACTCACAAATCAGTTTACTCCCTTGTTCCATCAACCTTTCTTGGCAGTATAGCACGATGGTTAAGAGTAAGAGCTTTGAAATCAAAGAAAGTTGGTTTGACACCCAGCTCTAACAGCTAATAACTTCCTGATCTTGGTCAAAATTTATGTAAATGGTATAAGCATCAATTTCCTTACCTGTAGCTACCTCATTGTATCTGTCTTGTAGGGATATTGTGAGGATCTTATTGCATGAGACATATAAGGAGCTTCGTAAGCACCATTGTCCTTTGAGAGTCTCAGTCTCAGCTCCCATAATGCATCACTGCATCCAGTCTTGCTGGCATTCTCAACGTCCTCCCTTGTCCTGCTGCAACTTCCTTGCAAATCCCCACCTTGGTCAGTGCAAGTCTTCTCCATGCCCACATTATGGGCCTAACAAAATTATGCAAATTGGGACCACTACAAACATATGGTCTCCAGCCTCAACGGGGCTCTGCTAGAGGCTGGGAAATATTTGAAATCTGTGTCTATCCCTAAGCACTTCCATTTCCCCGTTTATATAACTTTTTCATGTGTCAAATCATTCCTAAAATAAATGCATTTATATCTGCTGTTTTAAAAGAAAAAAAAATTTCCCTCAATCCATTTATCCCATCTGCTCTGCAATCATCACATACCTTACCCCACCTACAATAGAAAGAACCATAAACTTTGTTCTCTTTTGAGCTAGGGACTCACCTTCTTTTCCTCCCCATTTAAATCTGCTGAGTCTATTTTCTCTGTGCATATGTTCATATTTTTACCAATTACTACAAAAGGCTCTGAAAATACATTATTTCATTTAAGCCACTGAACAATCCAGCAAGGAAAACTTACACTATTGTTCTCATTTTATAGATTTAGAAACAGAAGCTGAGAGAAGTTAACTGGCTTATCCAAGGTCACCTGGCATCTAACATCCATGCCTCATGGCTTTAGATTCAGCCCACTTTCCACACCACCCCACCGTTTCCTTGGATGCTGCTAGCCATCCCATCCATGGTTGGTCTAGATGAGACTCTCCCTTCAGAAGTGTTCACATCCCCCCCTTTCTTTCTAGGCACACATGCTGGCTCTGCTCCGTCATCCTGAATCAACCAATTTAGCTCTGCTCTTAATGTTTAAAGCCACCACCCTAACCCACCCCAATCCACCCCACCAGATGACTCTTAAGGTACTGCTTAGATCAAACCTCATTTCTCTCAAAAACCATTTAATGCTCTCAATTTACTGGAAAATCAAGCCCAGATACTACAGCCAAGTGCCTCCAAGGTCTGAGCCCACCTCCCCTTCTGGTCTCATCTCTCTGTATCAAATGCAGGAAGCCTTCCTCTAATTTGGTCTATTGGCCATTCCTTCCTTCCCCTAGACCTTGAATTTGTTATTTCTTTTCACTTAACAATACCTTGCCCACTAACCCACCACCCATTTTGAAGTTCCGTACATCTTAAACACACAAGTTCTAATTCCTTCATAGAGCCTTCCCTGCTTTCTAAGTGACAGAACTTTCACTCATATGGCCCCTCGCCGCCCTATACATAGCTTCCTCTGTCAGTCTGTAAGTTTCAGGAGGCCCCAACTATCTCTGAGGCATCTTCGTATCACTCTAATATCTAGCAGGGGCTCTGAATACACCAAGTGTGCAACAAATGTGTAAAATGCTTTGGTTAAATGAGTATTCAGGATTAAAACCACCTACACATGCAAACATATGCAGTTATATTCCAAAATAAAAGACACATACACCCACACTACCACAAATTTATTATAATACACACACACACACACACACACACAACTTTGACAATATTCACAGGTTTCCATAGTCTTTAAAAATTTAACAGAAATAAGATAATTGAGGAAACATAAACTCATAATTTTATAATTTAGGTAACAATGTAGTCCACTCAATTAAGAATTCAACTCAACTAAGACGGTAAACTGGCAATGCCCCATAGAGACTTAAAATTTTGTATTTGTATTTTACAGTAGACATTGGTTTTCAAGGATTCATAGAACTTCATGTCGTAAACCAGATTTTATAACTGGTCTCTTTATTTGTTAGGTAAGCAGACCCAAAGGCAATAAAGTCCTGAAAAGTGGATGAAACCCCAATAGAAACTCTATGTGACCCACAGAGCCCTTTAATAAAATACTGTCCATGCATATCCTACATCCAATGATATGCATTTTGATCTAATGATGTTTACACGGAGGATGCTTTTGTTAGCTGTGATTTCTTTTCATGTAACATTCCAGCTCTCCACTTCTATTCACATAATTTAGAGCATAGTTCCATCACGCGCTACTGTGAGTTCATAGGCAAGTCAGACATTTTAAAGCCTACAGTGAGGTTAGGAGAGGTTGTACAATGCAAGACAGAAAGTATTGCAAAAACCAAACTCTCCTGTTTCATCTTCTTCTCTTTGTGCTTCTTTCTGGTCTTTACCCTTCTTGGGTCTTCAGGAATTTTGTGTGTAACAGCACAAACTCCACTGTCTCATTTTAGTGCAGGTTGGATGTGAAGAGCCAAAACAGGAAAACAGTTTGGGAACACTGAGGCCCTCCGAGAAATACATTATAACTGCTGTTCTTTTAGCTCTGCTTTCTGCTTTTTTTTTTTTTTACTTGAGAAAAATAAGGTATTTCCCCCATTTATCAAATCTTGTCTTCTCATATGGTAAGCAAGTGAAATCAGTAAAAGTCACTTAAAGGCAAGTAACATTATAAATCTGGTAAGTGTGAGAGAAAAGGCCATGGTATAGATTAAATGCCTGGGGTGACACATCGAACTACAGGGGTTTACAGTGAGGAAAAACTCAGGCTCTGATGGACGATGCTATCACTGTGTGTTACATAACTGAGACCCATAAGTACTGATTGTTTAAAGTCATAAGCATAAGCAGTCCTTCAAAATCAAGTATAAATATAGCAAGAAAGAAAAGCAATAGGGAAAAATTCAGAAATGTCCAAATATCATTGTTTCTGGGACAAAACTCTATTGACCAGTAGCTTTGGTTTGCCAACAAGAAAATGTGAGAACAAGAGAATTTTAGAAAGCAGTAATTGTGAAAAAACAAAAGTAGGCAAAATGAATTTCAGGTCTTCATTATATAGTTTATAGTTTTGAAAAAAAGAAATCCAGGCTATTCATTCATTCATTCATTCATAATTCTGGGAAATGTCTTTCCATGCAGTGTATCTATAACAACTGTTAAATAGGCTCTCTCTTTCTCTCTTTATTAAGAGACCCCTACAAAACCCAACAGTCTCTGGATAATTTCTGTGCCATCATTTTCCTCCAGTTGCTTCACAAATGACTCTAAGCCATCTCCGGAAACTGTGTATAATGGGAGGTCTGAAATCACTTATGATTTAAGGGTACTTGCATGAACATTTATATATCTAACCAATACATATTTAACAAGATAATCCTTTAAGCCACAACAATATGAGAAAGTGACATTATAATACAACAGACAAGAGATTTTTCCCACTGAACTACAGAGTACTTTTTCCATTGACAAATTTCACCTCTTTCCAGAAATATACAAAGTTAACTGCAAAATAGTAATAGCACAGTGCTTGTTAAGCCACAGAACAAATCATCTTGTTTTCAAAATATTAACTTAAACTTAGTGTCAAGTGCATGAATGTACTAACCAAAAGAATTGTTACTTTTAAACAGTATATACAACAAAAATGTTGTAGGGAAGTCTTATCAGTAAAGCTGGTAGTGGCTACACAAGAGATCCATTAAAAATTTTTGTTAGTGATGTTAAATGACAACTTATCAAAAATTCACTTAATGTTCACCAGTGTTAGCTCTTTAGAATGGGCATTTAACTTTAGAATAAATATAGTGTCTTCTGAATATAATCAACAAGCAACAAAGCCAAAACCCTCAGTTCGAGGTTTTCAGAGCTGGCAGAAGGAATCTATAGTAGGGCATGGATCTCTGTCCACGGTCAAAATATCTCATGATATTTTTTCATCTATACTGGACTTCTTTGAAAAGTACTCTACTGTTTCATATTCTCCTTTCACTATAACAAAATGTATTAAATAAAACCTTTATAGGTTTAAAAGCAGCTGAAAAACTTCCTGCTTTAGGCTCTAATTAGACTCTGTTATCTGGGATCTTTGGGCTCTCAAATATCAGAAGCTCCAATAACTTATCATAAAAATACAAGCTCTTAGTTTTGAAAAATATACAAAATGCACTTCACATGGAAATAGCTCTTGATTGTCAAAGAAAGTAAGATACCAGTCTCATTCATAGATTCATGTCGTGCTTGCATTTCAGTGATCTTTGTTTTTGCAGATTCCATTTTTCAAAGTTTTGGGCAGCCTCTGGCCTTTGGTGTAAGCACGGTACCAAAAGTGGAGAAAGAGCAGCAGAAAGATGCACCCATAACTCATAATGATGTACAGAAAGACTGGAAACTGGTACTTGCAATCTTCCATGAAAAAGAACTGGCCTATGTGGATGGTGACAATAATGAACTGGGCCTAACAGATAAAAGAATGAAAAATATTATTCAGATATGAAGTCACAAAGGAGCAATCATTTAATGCATTCTTTGGCTGCTTATGCTTAAACACTCTGCAACCACATCTAGGCTACTGTTCGGTAGGGAATTTTATCTTTAAATCTGGCCTCCATGGGTGTGAGAGTGGGTGGGACAGTGTCAAAATCCACTATTCAGTCCTGCCCAACTGTACAACTCCAGCGGCCCTTCATAAATGGCCCGGGAGCGGTGCAGGGCAGCAGGCCTTTCGTACCCAGAGAAAGAACCATCAGAGCAAGTTTTCTTGGCAAGTCTCTGTCTTGAGTCCTTGCCTTGATGAAATACACATGGGACCACTATCTTATGGCCTCATTTTCTAGAAGAGTTTCAGTTTCAAATATTCTGTCTTGTTGTTAGACAAGGTATTTCAATTTTGGGGAAATACAAACATCTTAATTAGAGCCCTAGCAATTCTGTAGGAGACAAAGCACGCCTGAGTCCTGGTATCTGCCACTTGTCGCCCACAGTTATATCAGGGTAAAAATCTATCCTACCAATGGCAGCAGAGAGTCTGTAAGAAGTAAAACAGTATTGATGACCTTCCTTGTAATGCCCAAGGGCTCTTTGTTCCAGAACATTCTACACAGTCTTAAGAGGAACACTTCCCAGGCTAATGTCCAGATTTTTTGCATATCTTTCTTCTCCTGATTAAAAGGCAACATGTGCTCTGTGGGAATGTTAGACAAGTAAAATTCCATAAGTAAAAATAAATAACAATTACCTATAATCTTCCAGTTATAACCATAGTTAAGCTTTTCACAGTTTCTTTTATGATCATCCTCAACTTTCCTTGCATCATCTTAAGAAACTTCTATGACCTTCCTGTGCAGTAGCTACCCTTATTTCTCTCATTTTACAGACACAAAGATGACACCTTTGGAAGTCTCGGTGACACCTTCAATATCTGAAGCAGGCATGTTTGTGTATAACCAACATGTTCGAGATAATAAATATCTATTCTTTCTTCTATTTTAGTATTTTGCCACATCGTTAAAAATTTTTTACAACATTTAAGAGTAGGCAAATGGGAAAAAAAGCCCAATACAAAATTGTCAATGCAGTATAATGCAAATCATGCAAGAGGTATACACATATATGTGGAATTATGCTTATTTTTCTTTCTCTTTGCTTAATTAGATGTTCTAATTTCTCGGCGATGAGCATATGTTACTTTACAATTAGAAAAAAATACTTAAAAAGAAAGCAACTGTGAATCATTTTCTTGATTTCATAATATTGCAAAGTAGGAATTAAAATAATTTATTTCATTATTTCCTTACACTTGGTTATTTAGAGCATTGTCAATTCTGTCAATATATACAATATACCGGCCCCTACCTCTTTCATCTGCATGTATGTTTACTATTCGGAGGAAAAACAGACTTAGAGGCAGGCATAGAGGAAGACTCGTAATGCCCTCAAAGTTACATTGCCTCCCTCAAAGTCATTTAGATCTAGAATATGGAATTTCTAACTTCTAATTTAATATTATGCCTGCTGCAGTTCAAATAAATTTCAGATTATCTTGATCATAATAAAATATATTTATTTTATAGAAAAGCATAAAATACTATAAAGATGGCCTAAAGATACACATTCTGCTTTAATGGTCTGAGGCTCTTGGCTACTAAATAAACTTTGTTTTCAACATAGTTCTTGACAAGAGTTTAAATAACATGGAAAGGATAATGATGGGATGCAATATAGGGGCCACACACTCTATATTCCTATTGTTTTGTAACTTTTGTTCTTTAGTTAGTATTCTGATTCACAGGGAAGAGAAATGACTCCAGTTTAGTTTTATATCTGGTTTTAAAGAAAATTAATTACTCACAAGCTGTAATAATGTCAAATATTTTTTCCACCACAGATACTTCTGGAAGGTTGGTCCCATTGCAGATAGCCCATAGTAGGAATACATGACTACATGTACAGCTGTATTTAGAAGGGCATGGAATGTTCCCAAACCACCTGGAAAATAAAATTATTGTAAAATGGGGGTAACGTTCCTTAAAATGAGATTCATTTTTGTCTGAACTGAGATTTTAGAATAACTATTTCTTTAATTTTAGTAGAAAGAAAAACACATACAACATCAATTTGTTAAACAGCTACCAAATTAGAGGGAGCTGGATAACATATTCATTCAGTAAAATGTAAGATGCACATCTTCAAAAATAAATTACAATGCCTTTATTTATTATTATATCTTAACCTTAAGATGGTCTTTTGATTTGGATTCACTTTAACAAACTAAGTTGAGTTATTTTTTTAAATGGTATATGCTTAATAATAGTAATCAAATTCATTTTTTTTAGTGAGGGTTCACATATATAAAGTACACAAATGCAATCTTAAGTGATGATTGTGTACATAGGTATACACCCACATAACCATCCACCAAGGTCAAGATATAGAACATTTCCAACACCACGTACAGTTCCTTTGTCCCCCTTCCAAGAATATACCCCTCTCAATGTAACCTTTATGCTGATTTCTATCATCAACTATTAGCTTTGCCTGATATTAAACTTCATATAAATAGAATTATACAGGATAATCTTTTGGACCTAATTTCTTTCAATCAACATAATTTTTTTAAGATTTGTCCATGTTGCTGTGCATATTAGTAGTTTGCTTTCTTAATGCTGTGTAGTATTATAGTATTGCACTGTATGAATGCATCACAATCCATTCTCTTGTGCTATAAAACTTTGGCAGTAAAACCACTGGCTTTCATTAGTAGGCTATGCTAAGTTTGCTTTAATTATTTAAAAATAATTATTGTTCTTCCAAAATAAACTTTTATTAATTGTTAAGCCATCTTTGTTTACTGCCTCCACTTGATTATTATCAATTGTGTCTTCCTATCTTGATTTTCCTCTTCTAACCACTACATCTCCTACTGATCACATTCAGTTTATAGTAGAAGCAAAGAACCCTGGGGGAACAGAAGCAAAAATCATTTCAATTATCTTTAGCTGGACCTGTAGTACAGTGGAAGGGGTAACAAGGTGACTAGCTGATAGCAGGAGAAAAAAACCAAAACACTCTTCCTTAGCATTTTTCCTAAGAGGCACAATCTAGAAGAAGATGCATTCTTTATGTATAGCCTGATTCAGCTTAGTGATGTTGATCTGGGATTTAAATTTTTCTCCAAAATATTCTACTTTGTTTATTCCAGTATTCTTTAATTCCAGAAATAAAGTGAAACCTCAAAATGTGGAATTACGTTAGAAAAGGGACCAAATTCATAAACACTATGTATTACAGAAAGTTTAAAGCAAAATAAAAATTGTTGCGTAGTAGAAACTAATTACATTTTAATAAGCATTCATAATTGCAGAAATTCCAGATACTTCTAGATACTACCACTGCTAAAGTACTCCTTTAAAATAACGTGTTTTAAATAATTATTTTTGAGTAATTTAAATATTCCCCCAGTGCCTCATTTATGCATTTTCTAAGTAGAATAAATAAAATTGCAGCCAATTCTTTAATTATCATAAATTTCAAATCAGAAGAAACTGAATTAATGAAGCTTATTAACAACCTCCCACCTTTTATTATTTACATTTGGATTAGTCTTTTTTCCCAAAAGAAACTTGAATAAATAAATTATAGTGGTGTGAAAACAGCTTTTCTAGGGTGATTTAAAAATATACTAGTTGTCTATTTCTGATAGTTTAGGAGTCAAGCTGCTTAACAGGGACTTAAGCCAAATACCTCTCATGTCCATTTATGTCTTATGATTATATAAACACACAGGAAACAAACTACATCAGAGCCTTTCTCACTAAGATACCTGTCCCACTTTTTGGTAGAAGACTATTTTCCATCCAGAATCTTTCATTATTTAAATGTCCTAAAATGACGATTTTAAGGACAGGAATTTAACAAAGCACTAGTGTAGCTAACAGGGTTTTTAGTAAGGATTACTAATCAAAATCAGCTATCAAATAAAATTAACTTGCTGATTTTGTCTAGTTATTATTTTCTCAAATATGTTAATAAGTTTGTTCATAGAACATTTTAATTAGTAATGCTTTTCACATCTTCTTTGGAAGGCTTTCCTGATAAAGTATTTTCTAAGCTTGCTTTCTTCTTTTTTTTTTTTTTTAAGATTTTATTTATTTATTTGAGACAGAGAGAATGAGAGAGAGAGAGCACATGAGAGGGGGGGAGGGTCAGAGGCAGAAGCAGGCTCCCTGCCGAGCAGGGAGCCCGATGCGGGACTCGATCCAGGAACTCCAGGATCATGACCTGAGCCGAAGGCAGTCGCTTAACCAACTGAGCCACCCAGGCGCCCGCTTTCTTCTTTACAACAATAGTTTTGCAAAGCTAACATCTCAAATAAATTGCAATTAGTACCATCTGATTTTATTCCTTTTTAGAAAAATAAAGGAATCACCTGGGTAATTACCACAATTCTCCATATCTCTGGAAGGGAGTATGTGCATAATGAATATAAAAACCTGCCAGAGAAACATTTGCATCATATTCCAAAGAAAAATTGGAATGCTTTTTTATGCCAGAGAATTGTGCATCAGGCGAACAGGAAATTAAATACTAGATAGAGATTAGCTGTGCTCAAATTTTTGAAAGAACAGTGTAAACTGGACAGTTTCATTACAGGAATGAAAGCTAATGCCAAACCACATTTCTGGAAATATCTCAACTCTTATTGCTGTACTTGTCACTAAATAAATATTAGGTGTACAAGTATTTACTAGATCCCACGTGCAAGACTTAACAGAAATGCCAACTCATGGAATATATGACAGAAGAAAGTATTTACATTTTGTTAAGCAGAAGAGGGATTAAGCTGTGGACAATGAACCTGCTACAAAGTGTTTGATGTCCATAAACAGGGTAACATTAAAAACCAAGGAGTTTCATGTTTAAATTTTCATTATTGAAAGCAATGCTTGTTTGAAAATGGAAGTCAGACTATCAATGGGCTCAAAGATAGACATTAGAAAAATGCTCAACTCTATTCTTCAAATAAAGTTCATTTTTCCCATTATAGAACTTACAGCTATTCAATATGGAAAAATTAGAAAGTACAGAGAAGGATAAAGATGGAGAGAGAAAGCACTTTTTGTGTTAGTCCCTCTAAGTCACTGTATTTTGGGGTAAGGCCTCCCAATCTTTTTCCTACTTATATTTATTTTTCAGTGTTGTGATGTAATATTCTGGTCTCAGAGAAGAAATCTGAATAAATAAATTATAAGAGTGTGAAAGAACTTTTTCTAGCATACTTTAAAATAGAATAGACACCTATTTCTGATAATTTTGGAGTCAAACTGCTTAAAAGAGAAGACGAACTAAATGTCTATCGGTATCATTTGCATTTCACAATTATATATACACAAGAATTCATAACCATTTTATTAATGGATGGTTAGGTATTTTCCCATTTTTGGCCAACACAAATAAGATGTCAATGAATATCACTATACAGAGAACTGATGTGCATGTGAGAGAAAACATAAACACATAAAGAGAAGTAAAATAATGGAGATTAAATAATCTGGCTATCCTTGATTTGTAAAATGGACACAGATGAGACTATCTTATCATAACGTGAGTTACATTTTTACATTAACATACATTATCAGAAAAACCAGCGACATTTACTTTTTAAAAGTCCAACATACAAATGCCAATTTGGGAAAAGGAAACACCTCATATACTGGAAAATCTGATGCCCACAGGCCATGGTAGGGACAGTTCTTCTGGCTCCTCTAGGTTCTGGTATCTCTTTCATGCCAATGGCTTATTCATGCCCTCTCATGCTCTGAGACATGAGGATTTTTCCTCAGGCTTAGAGACTCTAAAACTTAAACAAGTGTTTCTCAATTGTGGTTTCTCTTTTTTGTCCTACAAAGTCAGAATGCCTAATATAAATAAGCTCTTCACAGAAATTTTAAAGCTTTGTCTAACATGGGCTGCAGATCTACTCAAAGACTTCTCAAATTTAGGAAACTCATATTAATTAATCTCCCAACCAATGTCTGCTAATAAGTATATGTCCTTGGGGTCATCATTTATTTAACACTTCATGATAGGGTAAAATTACTTACCCTGTTTTTTCTGATTCTAGATGTTCAGAGGCATAAAGCCAAATCAAAGGAACAAAAGAGGCTGTTCGCCAAGCTTTTGCTTTAAACCAGTTTCAACTTCAAAAAAATCAAAACAATATCCTTCAACCACAATTTGACACATCTTTAAAGAGTTGGTAAGGGATGAGGTGTGTATCAGTTATTGGAATTTTGAATGCAAAGAAGCCTGGAACTTGAGAAACATTCTAACTTTCTGGAAACCTATTAAGGAATAGATATCTAACTATATTTCTATAAAACTAAGGCTTCTACCATTTTATTTGTTTACTGTTTATTTATTTAATGATATTTAATAGAACTATATGGGAAAAGAGTAAAATCCAAACAAACTAACTAAAGGATATGGGTAGAAGACTACCCAAAAGTCATGTGTCTCTAAAGAATGAAGGGATCTAGGTTAAAGTCTTACATTTATGTTTCAGGTAATAATGAAAGTCAGAAGTTCGATCAAAGTCATCTTTTGATGTTTTGAGTTTCTTCTAAATCACATTTAAGGACAGAATTTGTGTTTACAACATACAGAAATGTAATAGTTTATAACACATGAGCCCAACTCTCCCTTGGCTACCTGCGGCAAATTTGACTCCAAACCACCAGGTCCATGGCATGATGGTATGATGGAAGACATGCAGGAAACTCACTTGGCTATTTTTCTTACGCAGAACAAAAAAGATCTGAAATAATTTTAAAAAAATCAAGTTCATAGAAAATCATGCAATGATTGAGCTACTGATTTATCTACAAAAATACTGGCAAAGTACAAACTATTTCACATCATAATTTGCATTAAAAGGGCCGCCTTAGAGAATGCTCATAGAAGCAGCTGATTCTCCAAGGGGCAGCTGAAAAGCTAATTAGTATGAAGGAACTTAAGTATGATGGCTAGTCATAGGAGAATCAATAAAAAGGTGTTAAAGAAAATGTATGCAGATTTGAAAATCAAAAATGGAAAGTGAAGAACATAGCCAAATACTATTGAAAGAAATGTTACTGGCAGGAAAACATCCATGTGGATTTTGAAGTATATGGGAAAGCACAGAGTCTCAATTCTTAGGACAGAAATCATTCTATATTGCTCTCTAAGACATCCTACTAATTTAGATAAGGGATAAAGCAAACTGAAAAGAGGACTTGCAACAAAGCAAAAGTTAGCATATCATTAGTAAAGAAAGATGAAAAGGGAAAAATTCGAGGGGATTTGGAGAAATAGGATGGGAGAAAAGAAGTGGCCTAGGAACAAAGGCACCATCCAGACTGAATGTATCTGTGGTTTGCAGAAACCCTACAGACAAACAAAGAGGAGAACAAGAAGGCTTTTGCAGGGGGAAATTTTTTTCAAAAAAATTTCAAAAGCAGAATTAAGTGTTCAAAAAATATTTAAAATTCAGAATGCCAGTGATGAGTCAGACTTCTAAATATAGGACTAAGCACAGCAACACAAACAAAAGTATCCATAATGGTATTTGAGAAATGTGGTTTAGGGAAGGACATAGAGGTAGCAACAGTTTCCTTATGGAACCCGGAAATGAGAACATGCAAAGCAGAAACAATGAAGCTAAAATGCATTTACTTATGCACATGGAAGATGGCCGCACCATGTAATGAAAAAGCCCCAGACCAACTCTCTGGGGTCCCTGTCCCAAGCAGTAGTGGCATTCCTCTGGGTGAGTTACTTACCTTCCTGGCTTCGATTTATTTTCAGATTGAGAACTCTGGCCCAGATCAGTGGTTCACAACCCTGGCTGCATATTACAGTGTCCAAGAAGCTTTATAAAAGTAGCCATGCCTAGGCTTTAACTGTAGACCACCTGGCACCAAATCTCTGGAGGTGGGGCCCAGGTTTTGGAGGTTTTTCTAATGCAGTTAATGCTCCTGTACTATGATGGCTGAGAACCAGTGAACTACAGCAGGGGTCTCCAAGTGTGGACCCTGGACCAACAGCAATAACATCACCTGAGAACTTAAAAGAAATGCAACTTCTTGAGCCCAACAGACTGAATGAGAAACTCTAGGGTTGGGGTCCAGGTGTCTGAGTGTTTAACAAGCCCTCTAGGTGATTCTAAGGCAAGCCCAAGTTTGAGAACCACTGTATTCTATGCTCACTAAAGCCCATTCCAATTCTAACAGTATGTGATTATTCAGCTGAGAAGGTGAAGCATGTTGAGATTTGCTGCAAGAAATATGTAGTCTGTCACTGACCTCTACCTCTGAAACTAGTAATACATTATATATTAATTCATTGAATTTAAATAAAAAATAATAATTAAGCAGAAAGAAAAGAAATATCTATTCTGTAATATGTAATGGTAATATGTATCCTGAAGAGAGAAGACACTTGTCTGTCTTAGACCCAGAACTGGTTCCAGATATCTGAGACCTACGTGCCCCAAATATATGATAAATATCCAGCTTTCCTAGGCTACTGTGAAAACAGTACACGCCTTTCTCCTCTCATCAAGGACCCTAATCCATGACACTGGCTTCTCCCAGAGCCCATCACCCAAATCCAGAGTTGATCCTCAACAGGACCTTAAGTTGGAAGAGAAAAGGTCTAATCAGCATAAACTTGAGAAAGGCAGCTGGAGTTAGTTTTGATATTACCTAAATTACTAATATCCCAGGGATAACATCCTAATGTAAGTTTATGAATTTTGAAGCACTTATCCTCTTAAAGGAATATGGCTGACATAGTGCTTTGGTTTATACCGAAAGAACCCAAAGTAAATGTTCTCTGCTCTTTGCTTCGTGAACTTGATTTCCCAAACACCTGTCATCCATCTCCATAAAGATGCAGTTTTGCAGCGACAGTTACATGCTTATCTTAGTCAGGTGGCAGATACATAAGAAAACCTTTTGGCATTGGCAAAAGACTGAAAAAAAAGGCTTATCCTATCTATGCTCTAAAACTACTGATAATAAAAGGTAAAAGATAATAGGAGGTCTGCCTGAAGTGGAGAGATAACCAGAGCTATCAGACAACTGAACTCGAGCAGTTTATTGCTTCTAGTGATACATCAAACATTCACCAAATGTGGTGACCACATACTCACAGTATCTAATAGCTCAATAAATTTGGAGAAGTAATAAAGCCAGCAGGTGCGTGCCATCTGCAGAAACACACATAGATATGAATTTATTTTATTTTTTTATATGGAGGAAAATTTCATTTTTTTAATTTTGGCAAAATATACATAACCCAATTTATCATCGTAACCATTTCTACGTGTTTGGTTTGGTGGCATTTAGTACATCGACACTGTTGTGCCACTATCTCCATCCATCTGTAGAACTCTTTTCATCTTGCAGAAGTGAGACTCTGTGTCCATTAAACAATAACTCTTCATCTCCCTTCCCCACCAGCCCCTGACAACTACCATTTTACTTTCTGTCCCTGAATCTGTCTACTCCAGGTACCTCACATAATAGAATCATACAATATTCGTCTTTTTGTGCCCGGATGATTTCACTTAGCATAAAGTCCTCAAGTCTCATCCATGCTACAGCACATGTCAGAATTTCCTTCCTTGCTAAGGCTTGATAATATTCCATTGTATGGATAGACCACATTTTCTTTACCCATTCATCTTTCCATGGACATTTGGCTTCCTCTACTTTTTGGCTATTACAAATAATGCTGCTGTGAATACAGGTATACAAATATCTCTTTGAGTCCCTGTTTTCAGTTACTTCTAGGTATATACCCAGAAATGGAATTGCCAGATCATATGGTAATTCTATTTTTAATTTTTTGATGAACCAGATATGAATTTATTTTGAAATCCAGGAAGTTAAACAATAAAAGCACCAATTTTCATTTAACAGAAAACTATGCCCCTGACTTTGATTCTTTCTGATAATTTTTAGCTTTTTTTCTCTCAGGCCATGTAATTTGATAATTGTGTCATTTGCTTCTTCTGAGTTCACATTAAGTGTTAAAAAAAAAAAAAAACAGAGTCTAAAAGTTTTAACATTTGAGTTACAAGTTTTTCCAAAGAAAAACTCACCCTCAATGCTGAAGGTGACCGTGAGTAGTCAACAATTTCGCATCGAAATGAATAACCTGTACCCCAGCCAGACATCACAAACTGTAAGAGAGCACATGTATATTAAAGAAGGAAGAATTTGCTCAACAGCTACAACAATGGTACATTTGATTGTGTCTCTTTACCACAACCTCAGCTGACTCAGGCATGCAGTGCAGAGGAAAAGGCAGGCTAGAACAATTATAACTGGGAACTCGGCTTGATAAAACAACAGGCGTTTTCAAAATCATACAGCTATATATTACTTGTATCAAATGTGTTCTGACTCAAATGTCCACGGAGAAGGAAACGCTGGGAGTGTTTTGCATAGATAGCAAATACTGGCAGGTATATGCCAGTATATGTACATATATGTATATCTATATATGCCCATGAATAACAGAGTCTGAAAACAGTCTTTTCTGGTAATTTCTAATCTTCTCCATCAGCCAATAAATAAATGGGCAAACCAAAATTCCTTACTGTACTATTAGTGGCTGCCACACTGGGTTTTCCTGTCCTTAGCTAGTACGTGTAAAGTGAAGTGGTAGTCTATGGCTCTTAAAATCAAGATTGATCAAACACAAGACTCAGAAACTAGTTCAGTTTGGATTCACGTGACAAGTAAGAGACAAAAACGTTAACAAGAAGAGTGCAATCTGGCATGCCTTAATTCCAGCACACCCACAAAGTGACCTTAGACTAGTGGTGACAAGAAAGAGGCTATTGTTGTTATCTGAACCTTAACTCAAAGATTATATTGACATTCTTTTAGTATGATGGTGGGAAGTTCTTTTAAAACAGTATCTGATTCAAATAAAAACTCCAAAAAAATTAAAAAAAAATAAAACAGTATCTGAAAATGAAAAGCTAAGGGCTCTAATTTTAATGTATATATTAAATGGTTAGCTTAACTGAGTGTTCTGACAATATGATCAGCTCTTCTTTGACATCCTGTTTTCACAAATGGAATGTCTTCTTTCTCAGTATAATGGTTACATCATTTTCTGCCATTAGTGCACATTTTAAATTTCTGTTTTTAATCACTATTAAAGCTAAAATGAAAACTTTACCATAAATTAATTTTTAAAAGCCAAAATTTATGAGATTTATCAGAATGATATTTTGTTGGTGAAAAACAAAAAGAAACAAAAGAGAAAGAACAACTGTTTAGACTGTGGTATTCAAAAATCACACCATCCTTTCCTGATCTAGCTCCTAGCTTGATTCACAAGATATTTAATCCCATTGTTAACTTGATAAATGATGATATCTTGAAGAAGATTATCTTAAGATTCAGGAAAGTATAAGACATATTTTATGGGTAAGAAAAATGACTTACAAAAACAAGTCAACAAATATTTCTCAAAGGAACAAGGGAATGTGGTAGAAAAACAGCTAATTCTACAAAATCCTCATCTGTCAGTGAGCGTCATTATTCTCTTCCATTCAGACCTCTACTGGCTGCTGCAAGTAAAACCGAAGGTCCACTTATGTAACTGGCATGATTGGTTCTCCACTTTACCCTACCCCAAATGAGGACTGAGCTGAACAGGAGAAGCTCTGTGACATGGCCTTCTGTGAGATCTTCACGAGTCTCTCTTTATTGATGTCTGACTGGTGCCAATTAACTAGCACATTCAAAACCATTGCTTTACAATAAGGCCTGTGGGTTCCTTTAGTCTATGGACTTCCCTTTCATCTTGTTCATATTTTCCCTAACATCCATAAGTGGAGGTGTTTCCTCTGTATATCTAATGCAATTGTGCTCTACCAATAAACCATGTGATGTGTTCAGTGTCCTGGAGATGACATGCTGACCGGCTGCCAAAACTCTTTGTAAATTTAAAGAGATAGTGGAGGGGCGCCTGGGTGGCTCAGTCGTTAAGCGTCTGCCTTAGGCTCAGGTCATGATCCCAGGGTCCTGGGATCAAGCCCCTCATTGGGCTCCCTGCTTCTCCCTCTCCCACTTCCCCGTTTGTGTTCCCTCTCTGCTGTGTCTCTGTCTGTCAAATAAATAAAAACTTAAAAAAAAAAAAAGAGTGGAAATTAGTGCTTTCCTGATATTAAGTTTAAGAACATTCTAATAGTCTATGAAGCTTTTGACATTTCTATATTTCAGGCTATCAAGAAGAACAGCAATAATTTATATTTGGCAGGTAATCAACCCCAACGTTGGCATATAAGTAACTCTAGTATGAGTGATTAATAAGAGACAGAAACTGCCAAATTCAGATATTTTCACAACTTCTTTTACATTGTATTTGCTAAAATAGGAACCCAAATTTACCGGCTATAATTAAATTCCCCCGAGAAACATATTTAGGGACATTACACTGAATGACATAATCAGACACGGAGCGTAAAGGGATGTGAGAAACAATTTGGTTTAATCCTGATTCTATAAAATGGGAGAACTAAGGCCCAGAGAGGTTAAGTAACTTGCTCAAAAATCAGGCAGCTGGTTAGTAGCATAACTGATACTAATTAGCCCCTAGTCTCCTGGCCTCTAGGTCTACGCTTAACATGGTCCTATGGGCTATTTCCTCTCTGTCATAACTTGGTAAGAGCATGTTTTTTTTGTTTGGTTGGTTTTTTTTGGCTCCCTACCTCTGTTACTCCTTCCCTTTCAGTTACTCATGATCCAGAAGGGATAGTATGATAGCCTGTAGTTAATTTTGGTAATAAAAGAAGAAATAGAAGGTAGCAAGGTAAGTCCAGACTTGAGGGGGGGCCGGTGAGACATGAGGTTACAGCAGAATAAGGTGACTCAATCAGGTAGATCTGAGCAGGAATCAAGTTGGAGGGATGCATGTGGAGAGGTCACAGTGTCAAGAGGGGCCAGAGGGGTCATGGTGGGCCCTCGAGAGTTCCAGTTATGAGGAAGGAAGCACAAGCTCTACTGCAAAGAAGTAAATAAGGAGTAGAAGATGAGGAAGCCAGCCGATATTGGAAAAGAAGCAAGGAATCCCAGAAAAGCAGGTAAGTGAGACTAGGTGAAGATTGTTAATAGCACAGTGGGTGAGAGAATCTACGAGTCTACTCTTGGGTCCTGGAAGATTCCTATCTCCCTTACTGACAAGGGACAGCCTCCCTCACCTACTGCTTTCTATGAGTCTAAATTCTCTGTCCCCTCAAGGCCTAGCTAAACCAAACCTAAACAGTCTACCATCTTACAGCTCATCCAAGGTTCCTACCATGATGATAATAACTCATTACAGAGTCAAGATGAGCTCCCAATGTCAGACAGACCTGGATTCAAATATCAGTCCTCCCATAACCAGCTATGTTACTTTGAGTAAGTTACTTAATTTCTCCATGTATGAGTTGCCTTAAAACTAACACGGATTCATTCAATCATCTATTAAGATTAGCTGTGTGCAAGTTCCTGGACTTAATGTTAATTTTTCTCACTACTTGTGAGGTAGACTATACTGAGATCCTCTAAATAGTTCAATATCAGGTCCATATATAACAATTTTTTGGCAAGAATTTTAGCTAAATTTCTAAAATTCCTTAAATCTCAGTGTTACCATTATAATCATAACAAGAAACATAATGACAGAAAAACAGGAAGATTCAGGCAAAATTCTCCCATTAGGAATACTGAAGACACTTGCCTCATAACACATATACACAGAAAAAAGAACTATGGAAAAATTGTATGTTATCATCGCTTTCTTGAGTTCAAAAGGCTTTCGATTCTCCATGAGCTTTGGTCCTAGAGAAGTGACAAAATAGACATAGAGTCCCAGGATGATCGTTTGTGGCAGAGGTGAGGACATGAGGAACCAGTCTTCAACTCTTGGATCTAAAAACAAAAAGTAAGTGCACATCCATTTAGCCAAGAAATAACTGACAGCAACCAGCATTTCTTTAAGCAAGCACTTAGATCCTAATGTTGACAGCAGACTATTCAGTCAATGATCTACTATCTTTGGGAAGGACAAAGGGAAATCACCATGGTCAGTGATGGGGCTAGGAAGAGTGGGGCTCTTATCACCACAGGCCTCAAAGGACACAGGGACGTAGCGGTTACTAGAACCCAGGAGTCAAATGGAGAAGCCCTCCTGGAAAGGAACTGTGACCTTCTGTGGAGGGACTGGGCCAGCACAAGGCAATTCTGGAAGTAAATGGCTGGGTAATCAATATCTCAGTACCACCCCCCACTCTCTCTCCAATCTCCTATGACTCTCCATTGGCTGAACCCATTCAGAAACCAGAGGGTAGGGGAGAAAGCCCACAGTTACAGTCTATACTGGTCATTCCCCAGGGTCCGGCACAGGGTGCAGAATGGATCTGGGGAACAGAAGACACCCAGCAAAGTTCCACCACGCATCTATAACCACTAGTAACATTTTAGAGTTTCTCTATCCAGATATTCTTTTATATAAAAAATATGTCTGTGTTTGCTTTCCCCCAAGGAAACTAGGACATTTCCATATATACTGTGTCACAGAATCATAGAACTGAAAGGGACCATAGCATCATCTACCTAAAGTATGGGTTCTAGGTGTCCAAAATAGGCTAATCAACGTGAGCACAACAAAACAACAACAACAACAAAAAACTGAATTAGCCTCACAACCATGTAAAAAGAAATTCACTGGTCACTGCTCATTCCAATTATATCAATTAAAAATTGCAACTCAAGATAAAATGTGACTTGGAAATGAAAAGTACAGCATAGGGTATATAGTCAATAATGCTGTAATAATACTGTATGGTGACACTTATCATGGTGAGTGTTGAGTAATGTATAGAATTGCTAAAACAATATCTTGTACCCCTAAAGCTAATATAATACTGTATGTTAATTATTCTTCAATAATGAATTCTTTAAAAAAGTATTTGAGAAAAAAATATATATGCCAAATAAACAGGGGACTTGCAAATATAATGGGTATTCCTGAACAGAAGTAAAATAGAAGAGAAAAACAGAAAAATATTCAAATAGATCATAAAATTTTTTTCTGAAAAATGAAAATCAAAACTAAATCTTTATATCAAAGTACTTATCATGTATCAGGAAGTAAATACTAACGAATAAGCAAATCTAGCTGTATGTAGGTAAAATTCTTGTATTGCAAAGATAAACAAAAATTCTATAAGCATGATGAAAGAAGCAACAAATCTCAAAATGGAAAAATGTCAGACTTATCCCAGAAGACTCTTAAGACCACTTGACCACAAAAAAAGGATCCATGTGTATAGAGACTTAGAGAAAAATTGATGTAATCTAAGAATTCTTAATATACTTAGAATGTTGTTCAAGTAGAAAAGGAAAAAAGATAAAGTCGAAATTGTTATTATTATTTCTGACATGGGCTATTATTAAGGATAAATCATTTGAATAATTATTTTAATGCCTCAAATATTAAAAAATGATGAAACTAGCAGTTAAAAATACTCTTATGAGATACTTGGAAAATATGAATACTGGTTAAATTCTTGATGATGATGTTTTATTATGGTGTGATTATAATATTATGGCTATGTTTTAATGTCTGAAATATTTTTTAAAGATTTATTTATTTGAGAGAGACAGAGAGAGAGAGTGAGCGAGCATGAGCGGGGAGAGGCAGAGGGAGAGAGAATCTGAAGCAGACTTCGTGCTGAGCATATGGAGCCCCACATGGGGCTCGATCTCATGAGCCTGACATAACGACCTGAGCCGAAACCAAGAGTCGGATGCTCAACCGACTGTGCCACCCCTGAAAATATTATTAAAATAAAGAATGACACAATAAAAAAACAAGATATGATTAATTCTATAATCTTAAGTAGTTCAGGTGTAATTTTACTAAATTGTCTCCTGAAACCAGAGCATTACAAAGGAAGACAAGTATGAACAGGTTTCTAAGTATATCTGACTGAAAACTGAGCCTTGACTAACCTTATGTTGCTAAACACCATCACTTTTGTCGATTGGAAAAGAGGGGTGGGAAGAATACAGCCCTTGCTCATTTAAACTGCTAATGGTGTAGCCAATTACCAAAACACTTTGAATACCCCCTCAAGTCTGACTTCCTACCCAGCGCAAAAATTTCTTCAACAGACTTCATGGTTGAGGACTCACTTGGCCTCAATTTTATTGCTGCAGAGCTCATATCTGATTCTCGGGTATACTAAGGCATGGCTTTAGCTATGAAAGATGATGTATTCTATATACAGATCGGTTTCCATCAAAATACCAAGAGATGTCCTATCCTTTTTTTTTTTTAATTTTAATGTAATTTATTTAATTTTTAAAATTTTATTATGTTATGTTAATCACCATACATTACATCATAAGTTTTTGATGTAGTGGTCCATGATTCATTATTTGCGTATAACACCCAGTGTTCCATTCAATACCTGCCCTCTTTAATAGCCATCACTAGGCTAACCCATCCCCCCACTCCCCTCCCCTCTAGAACCCTCAGTTTGCTTCTCAGAGTCCATAGTCTCTCATAGTTCGTCTCCCCCTCCAATTTCCTCCCCTTCATTTTTCCCTTCCTACTTTTTTTTTTTTAACATATAAGGTATTATTTGTTGCAGATCTTGAAAAAATAAATAAAAAAGCCAAAAGTCAGCTCTAAAACAGACCCCAAGATATTTAGGAATTTAATATATGATAAAGGAAGACCCATAAACAAGCAAGGAAAGGAGAGACTATTCAACAAATGTTGATAGGAAAAATGAATATTTGGAAGAAAAATGAGCATGTTCCTTACCTCATATCCTATACAAGCTTGGCCCAATCTATACAGTGGAAGCAAGACATTTAAAATTTGTCCACAGAAAAAGTAGGGTGAGGCTAATGAGAATGCTAAACAAGCAAACTGTTTTTCTGCAGGATTTTCGTGCTTCGTGTTCATTGTGAATTGCCAAGATGAGAATGGTGGTATGCAACATTCCTCAAACTTATTTGGCCATTCCTCAAACTGATATTGTGTAGAATACACTGTGGAACAGAGTTTGGGAAAGAGCTCTCTGCTGAAACAAATCTTTAAGTTAAGCCATTAAAAATTAGGTAGTGATAGGGGATTCAGAGTATACTTGTTATGAGCACTGAGTAATGTATAGAATTGTTGAGTCACTATATTGTACACCTGACGCTAATATAACAGTATATGTTAATTATACTGGAATTAACATTTAAAAATCAGGTAGTGATGAAGATAAATAGGATCTGATCATTTTGAGATACAGTAAGGAGGCAGAGAACATAAAATTTTGTAAATGCTTAAACACAGAGAATGAGGAACAGGTGGAAGTTAAGGAAAAACTGAGATTTTTGTTTAGATAATTGTCCTATCACTGAGACTAGGAATGCAGGATATGGAGCAACACTGGTCAGGGAGAGATGGCTTAGGTTTTCAAACATCTTACATTGGGCCTACGTCTAAAACATGTCTATGGAGACCCCTCTAGCTACCTGGAGATTTGAAAGTGGAAGTAGGAGAGAGATCTGGGCCAGAGATGTACTATTTGGGATCTTGATCACATGAAAGGTGAACAACAGAGCCAGGAAAGTGGCTTAGGAAAGTGGGCAGAGTAGGGAGAGTAAGTGGTTTAAGTCAGAATCTTGAGGACTCAATCTTCGCAGGAGGGATGGTAGATGAGAAAATTGTTAAAACAAACAAACAAACAAAAAACCAAGGAGTGGCCGGAGAGAGAGAAGGAAAACCACAGAAGTGAGCCATCCTGAGGTTAAGGGAAGAGTGAATCTTTGGAAGGAGTCAAAGGATAAAATGAGGCAGAGAGAGAAAGACAGTGACACTGGCTTTAACAAAAGGAAGTCACTGATGCTCTTAGCAGGAACAATTTTAGTCAAGTATCCTGCACAAGATAGAAATTCAACAGAAGTCTGCTGACAGTTATTTATAAAAACACAAAGTTCTCAAAATTAATTTTTCTCCTCGTATTAAGATTGTCACAGCTTGAAATCAGAACAAGTTTCGAAATCAGCGATCCAGGTACACAGCACTGAAATTTTTTATTGCTCCTATTAGGTACCCTCCTTCCCTTCCACACGTTCCCCAGGACATCTGGGCGCCATGTGCAGTTTCAATGGCCACAAGGTGCACTAGCCACGGGCCGGTAACTCACCAGGGAAGTCACAGGAAATAAAAGTTGCCACACAAATGGGGACTAAGGGATAGAATCAGAACTGCTCCAACTTTGTTGAGTTTCTTCTATCAGTGGGTAATCCGAAGTTTGAATATAGGAACATCATAAGCCATATGAATATGTCTAGTTTCTACCTCCAATGAAATAAGGACTTTCAGCCAGTACCAAAGAAGACCCCTGGTAGGATGTTAATTAACATGGTTACCTTTGGATGGTGATGGCATGGATGATTTTAATTTTTTTCTTCTCCTCTTTAAGCAATTTAAAATGTTTCTGTTCTTAACAGACATCATGCGTATGACTGAAAACTAGGGGGGTTTTTTGTGTGTCCTTAAAGGAATTCCTGAATTAAAGAAATATTTTATTTTATTCTTTTATTGACTCAGCAGGGGGAAAAGTATCAAATGACATCATCTTTCTGTTCTTCCTCTGGTAGCAGTAGAAAGAAAACAAGCCAGGAAAAGCATGCTGGGTTGGCTCAGAAAGCAGAAAAAAAAATAACTTTAAAATAAATAATTTTTTCCCGTAATTTAATATTTTAAGCATACACCTTCTTTTAAAATCCTACATGTGACTTCTGAGTTCTATAAATTTGAAAATATCACTGTATCGTTTGGGAAAAGCTGGCTAATTTCATGTTATTCTCATAAAACAGTACATCAGGTTTGTTTGTTTGTTTTTAAATCCTATTTTAGCAAAGCTTTGGAATCAGCCAGCCTGGGTTCTGATCCTGGCTCTCCCACTGACTCATGGGATCTGGGGCCACTGACTTTCACTTCTCTGTGCTTAGTTTCCCCATCTGTGAATTGGGCATAAAGCAGCATGTATCTCATAGGGGATTTAATGAATTACCATATGTAAAGAGCCCAGCACAACCTAAGGGCTCAGTAATTATGCATTGCTACTATTACAGCAGATGTGAATTCTGTCAGCATAGCAGAATCAACTCTGCAGTATTTAAAAATCAAATGGTCCAAAAATGACCCTGTTCTAACTGCATCAGAATTCTAGGGCATGGGTCCCAGGTATCCATAAATGCTGAGGTAACCACGATGAGCTGTCAGAGTTAAGAACCCGGGGTTCAGTGCTTCCCTCACCTACACTGGGGGCCTCAGCATCCCTCACTAGGTGCTCTGCAGTTGTCTCTCATGTGATTTCCCTACCCTGATCCAATCTGCTACATCTTGTCTTCCACACAACTTCCAAATTCACTTTCTAAAAGTATAGCTCTGCCCAGATTATTCCTCTGCTTACATCAGCTCTCCCTAATGAGCAAATGAAATTCTGAGTCTTTAATAGGATGTTCATGACTCCGGCTATTGTTAATGAATAACAACTGTTCATGTTGCCTGCCTTCTTGCTCAGTAACAGTTATACCTTTCTGAATAGAGAGCCTACTTCCATGTGAGGTAGGGGGCTCCCCCTGACAAGCTGTCTACAACTCATGTATAGATGGTGACTTGATCAGGCAAGTTGTAGGAGGGCCTGCTCAATGACATTTAAAGTCTGTGATCAGACTATATTTAAAGTCTGTGATAAAGACTCACTCTGGGATGCCACAGATTACAAAAGATTCGGGGTGAGCTCTGTTTTTCCCAGACACAACAGGCTGAGGAAAGAGGGTTTCATGTACCTTCTATTTGGCATCAGGGTTGGGTTTAAGTGTCATGAGTCGAGCCAAGATGAAATAAGAGGATGGGGAGGCAGGTTGTCTGAAGTCCATACCCCAGTCATTACCGAAGTTCTGACTTATTGCTAGCCTAATAATTCTTTTCTAAGAGTGTTCCAGAGAGAGTACAGGGAAAGTAGAAGAGCCACAAACATAGAATTTTAATGAGTTTTTCCATCAACTACTTGTAAGAGGGTGTTCTCTTCTTAAGTAGCATATACTAGCTCAAGTACACCCTTTAAAATTCAATGCACCAACAAGATAAAGGCGCTGGAAGGAAAAGTAAACCTGTACCTCCAGCACTTTGTGAAGTACTAAAGGTTCAGAATGTCAGCAACCCGACTCATACTCCATTTTCTTGTAAAAAGATCATAACTAGGTTTGAAAAGTTATTATTACTGACCAAACACAAGGAAAGTTGCTTTTAAAACATTAACAAGTTTCCATTTCTCTACAGTCCAAAATGCTACTAGAGCATGACTTCAAAATTTGACATCTCATATCCAGGAATCATAATAAATCCTCTTATAGCTTAGGTGTTAATTAAACCATATTTAAATCTGTAGCTGTGGAATTTTCCACATGAAATAATTATGTATGACCACTACTTCTTTAGCAATCAAGAAACCAATAAATAAGAGTAGGCTCCCCGAATGCTACTCAGGAATAGGGCCAAAGCCAAGAATACACTTGAAATTTTCGGCCCTTGATCATGGGTTCAGACCCTCCAGGGTAAGCAAAATTAAACTGGACTGAGATGGCCAGGAGTGATTTCTAATGGCTCTCCGAGATCAATACCACACTAAGCAGAAGCAAAAAAAAAAAAACCTCTCCTATTATACCTGGTAGTGCTGTCACAAAGTTGTAAATCTAACACAAAACATTTTAACTCTCTAGGCCCCGATTTAAAAAAAAATGTCTATTCATATATATATGAATAGACATTTTTAAAAAGCATATGCTATGTTAAAAGTATTTTCAGATGACAGTACTCTTTCCATCATCTGTAACAACTACCACCATCTGTGTTGGATTACTTCCTAAGTCACAGAGCACTTTCATGCATATTGGTACCATCCTCACCTCTGTTTTGCTGAAAAAGAAATGCCTTTTTAACACAGACAGTAATTAGTTCAAGACCACCTAGCCAGTCCATCGAAATGGTCTAACTGAAATCTAGGTCTTCTCATTATACATCCCCATACCCTCTCCCCTCTCTCATGACTTCAAATTAGCATAACAGAGATGTAGCAATGCCTGTCCCTCTCTCTCACTTTCCCTGTACTGTTTGCAAAGCTGTTCCAGGGGCTCCCTCTGTCTCTCCCTAACCACCTCGAGCCCTTCATCATTCCTTTTTCTGACCTAATATTGCTCAGCTTTTCAATATAAGTATTCCTAATAAAAAGCAGAGAGTCATTACATGGATAATAGTGGAAGTAGAAATCAGAAGTTGTTCATTTAAAAACATCCTATACTTCCAGCTCTATATAGATATTAATCATCATCTAAATCAATTTGGCTCTTGAGTTAGGATACTGATTATCTGCCTCTCTTGAGTTCCTGCATTTGGTATAGTGAATAGCAAGGGACTTGTGCTTCCAAACGGGTCCATTTCAAAACATGCAACCAGATCTACTTGGCTCCCAAGTTCAAATCATGACATTTCAGGTAGCAAGGCATACCTCTACTTAGAAAAGCAATTAAAATATTAATATTTTTAAAAATACAAAAAAGTGAAAGCCATTAAAACAAGACAAACAGTATTTAAATTAAATACTGAATTTATGAGAACTACTGTAAACCTTCAGAGAAGGCGGACCTCTAGAGAAATCTACTTGTTCTCAGAATCATTACATAAGTTGAAAAACAGAAAAAAAGGAAGAAACATGGAAACAGTCATTCTCCATTTCCCTACCAGATAGAAGCTTCACTATTTACAGGCTACTAAAAAAACCCTCGGTGCTCTTCCAGGGCAAATCTTTTGGGACATTTTTTAGTGAAATAAAATTGGTCTTTAGCAGTCTCCTGAGAAAGACGGCAACCATGACACAGTGTATCTTTGCTGATATCTGCATAAATTGGAAAATAATTCCAGTTGTGTTAAATGCCAAGATAGCACTTTTTCTTCCTGAATTTGGAGGACACGTGATTTCTGGTTGATAGGGAAGAGCTAAGCTGATGTCGTGATGCTAATGAATATGTGTAAAACAATTCAAATGTGAAATACCAGAAATCTAATCAAAATCAGGAAACATAGGTTCTAATCTTTCCTGCCAACAACTAGCCACATTCTGAACAAGGTCACATCTCTGAGCCTCAGTCTTTAATTCTAAAATGAGGAGTTAGCTTTGATGATACCACCTTTGATGAGGTCTGCCTCAGCTCTACAACACTCTGACTCCTTGTTTATTTAAAAATTGTTTTACCTTTGTCATATATATAGGGGTGCCTGGGTGGCTCAGTCAGTTAAGCGTCTGCCTTCGGCTCAGGTCATGATCCCAGAGTCCCGGGATTGAGCCCTGGATTGGATTCCCTGCTCAGCAGCAAGTCTGCTTCTCCCTCTGCCCCCACCTCACTAGTGTTCTCTCTTACTCTCTGTCTCTCTCACAAATAAATAAAATCTTAAAAAAAAAAATTGTTTTACCTTTCTCATATATATATATGGGAGGAGGGGCAGAGGGAGAGGGAGAGAGAATCTTAAGCTGGCTCCGGGGAGCCTGGCACAGAGCCCAATGAAGGGCTAAATCTCACGACCCTGAGATCATGACCTGAGCTGAAATCAAGAGTTGGATGCTTAACCAACTGAGCCACCCAGGATTCCCATCTTTGTTACATTTTTAAAATGTTCTGTGATGGTTATAAAAGCAACACACATTTGAGCGGTATTAAAAAATATATAGATAAGTAAATAGAAATTACCCATAATCCTATCACACAGAGACAATGGCTCTCACAAAAGTAATGTATGTGGTGTTTTACAACCTGTTTTTCATTTAATGTATTTAAACTTGATTTGGCATTAAATGTTCCTAGAATACTGATTTTTTTTTTTTAAAGGTTACAGCAAGAAGGCAGACATTTCAGAGTTACTTAGGGATGCCCTCTGAAACGCTCCCTTTCTGATACACCCCTGAGGGTGCAGCCCCTCCCATTCAAGAATCAACATTGTTGGCATCAACTGCTATTTCCCTTAGGAGCATTAGGGCAGAAGCAAGCCTAAGAGCACTGTGCCTCCAAAAATCACTTTTAATGACTGCTGAGTTGGAATGTACCATCATCTACTAACCAATTTCCTTCACTGGGTATTAAAGCTATTTTCATTATTATAAACATCATAATAAACATCTGTGTAGCTCTATCTTTGTACATATTTGTAATGAGAACTCCGATACTTCCCCATTGTTAACTAGTAATAAAAATTAAATTTGAGGTGTCTATGAGGGGGTGTTAACTTGCAGTCTCTCATTCTGTTTCAGTGAAATCCTATTAAATACTGGAATCGGACATAAAAAGAAAAAATGTGCCTTAAGTAGGAAGTTTGGTTACTTACCAGCATCTTTGATCCAATTATCATAAAGACGCACGGTTCTTGATGTAAGATCACTGAAGACCATTTTCCACAGGATTTACTGGCTCTTACAATGGGTTCTTCAGTACAAGAAAAAAAGAAATGAGTTTATGATCTATAAATGCAAATAAAGCCAAGTTCTAATAAAACAATATGATAAATGCTAAATATTTAATAGGAATACTTGGCAAAACAACAGACCTGTACTAAGGGTAAATGCATTAGTGAACCGCATTAAACCCTGATACAGTGGCAAACATTTAAGATTTTTCATCATTATAAGAACAATGCTTACTTTGCTGAAAAGGGCTAACATTCTATGTGCAAGATATAAAAGGAGTAAATGATTCTAAGAATGTTCATAAGTGCATCTCCTTTTTATAGCAACAATGCAGATCAGGAAAGGACTACTTTCAATGGCAATTCTGAAATAAAAACCCAGTAGAAGAAAAGTCAAGAAGATATACAAACATTCAGAGAAGCTACTCTGAACCAGGACTTATAGCTGATCTTCAGGCATAACAGGTCTTCTGTACGCAAGTCTTTACAATTTAAGTGGAATACAGGTAGAAAGAGGGAAGGAAAGAAGATCTACAATAGCCAGGGAAAAGTTGCCTCATTTATCTGGACAGATAGGTAAGAATAGTTGGAAAAAGAAGTCTTCTGAAAAAAAAAAAAAAACACTAGTGAAAGGACACGAGCTCTATTATATATTAAAAGATAATCTAAATCTTTAATAATTAAAACAATGTGACACTGACACATGAAGAAGCAAACCAATGGAATACAGCAAAACATCCAGAAATACATCAAATACAGTTAGGAACTTAGAACTGTATTTTGTAGATTCTCAGATGTACAGTCTCCCACATTTTAACATCTCTGAAATCAGCATACGTCTTATAAATGTATGGCGTCCCACAAAATGAACAGTGTATTTGATCCAAAGTCATAGAGTGGGAAGATGAAATAGCTCTGGAGATGGATGGTGGTGATGGTTGCACAACAATGTAAGTGTACTTAATGTCACTGAACTTCACACTTAAAAATGGTAAATTTTACATTATATAGGTTTTATCACAAAAAAGAAATCCTTTAAGCCTGCAACAGGAAAATTCAAACTTTCTTCTAGCATTCTAAAAGTCATTTTAGAATATAAACATATATATATATTTAGAATATAAAATATTTATTTTTAAGACATATAGTATATGATAAAGGTGGCATCTCAAACCAGTGGGCACTGAATTACCAGCAGTTCTTCAAAAAATGGTGTGATACAACTAAACAGCCACCTGGGAAAAAGAAGCTGGATCCAAACATTATACTATAAACCAAGATAAACTCCAAGTAGATCAAAAATTTAAATAAGAAAAACAGAAAAAAAGAAAAGAAAAACAGAACCATGAAAGTACTAGATGACAACAGAGAGAATACTTTTCTAGCCTTGTAATGGGAAAGGACTTTCTAACTTTGACTTAAAATACAAAAGATGTAAGAGAAGACTAACAAATGTAACCACATGAAAATCAAGAGGAAAAAATTAAAAAGTAAAAAATGACATACAGGAAAAAATATGTTCAATTCATACCACAGACAAATGCTACTCTCCTTAATATATAGAGTTCTAAGAAATTGATAAGAAGACCTATAAGCCATGAAAAGCATGGGCAAATTTCATAGGAAAGGAAATACGAATGGCTCTTAAACATATGAAAAGTTGCTTACCTTTAATCATAGTAAGAAATTTACAATATTTTATTGCAGTGGATGGGCTAAAGTCCAAACATTTTTATCAGCCCAATTGGCCTAAATCCAAAAATGTGTTGAGAAGACTGTGGCAAACTCATACATTGCTGGTGGGAGTGCAAATGATCATAACCCTTAGTAATGCCAATTTGGCACTATTAGGAGAAAGTATAAATGCATATTTTTTAACCTAGCGATGTTACTCTTAGAAACTCATAGATACACATGTACATATGCAGAATGACATATTCAAGGTCATTCACTGCATCAGTTAGTAACAGCAAAAGACTGGAAACAAGCCAAATGTCTAATAAAAGTGGACTGGTTAATAAATGATAATACATCTAAACCATGAAATATTATGCTATTTTAAGTAAGAATGAGGAAGTTCTCCATGTGCTGATATGGAAAGGTATCCAAGATAAATCTCTATGTGAAAAAAGCAAAGGAAGTTACATAATTTTAAAATGACTTCTATATAAAAAAGGAGGGAAGGAATGAGAATATAAATTTGCATTTACGTATATTAGCACAAAACAAATTCTGAAAAGATATCCATGGGTAAGGGAATGAGGTACAAAATGGGCTGAAGGGGTAGAAGGCAGACTCATACTGTTTGGTTTTTAACTCATGTGAATATATTATCTATCCAAAAATAAAGAATTAAAATATTTCAAAGAAAAAAAAAAGAATAGATCAGCAGCACCTTTGCTGGAATATTCCTACTTAAACATCCATACACAAATGCACATACACACAAAAGAGAGATTTTTATCTTAATTCCTCAAGGGTCCATCCCCTCCAGAGGATGTCTCCAAGTTCAGGGAAGTATCTCAGCATGGCTTTGGTATATCTTATGTCCTCAGGCTGAGTTCAGACTCAAGATTGGCTGTGGTGAAGCCAGGGTCTTACTCCAGTCAGCCTGGGCTCTTGCTTCCCTATGGATCCTTTCTACAAAGAAGGTGTGATGTGGGTCCAGGAGTAGGATTCTAATTGTACACGGTATATGGTGAGGTTACATTTCAAAGTATTATTCTGTTTTCTGCGCAATTCCTTCCTCTTCTTTTTCCCCCCACTCATTCCACACAGGACATTTTCCTCTCCCTAAACTCCCAAAAGCACAAAAATTCAAGAAACCACAGTCTAATGCAGGTCAGAAATATTCACGGGCAGTAAACAGAGCTGGTTTCTCTAATCCCAAACACTACACAAGTCTGAAATGAGGGGAGAAGCGAAAGGCAGTCAGAGGAGCAGCTCATGCTGGATGGGAAGCAGGAGCAGATGTTCTCCAGGGAGGTGAGAGATGGAGCACTGGCGAGGTAGGAAAGGGATCCATTAGCCCAAGTTCCTGGAGTGTGGACTCTCTCACTGATCCTTTACTTTTATATAAACTGACATCCAACAGTCCTTAACACTTTGTGGGCCCACCAGAAGAGAAGGAGTGTGCATCGTGTGCATCATTGTGTGAGGATGGGGCATGAAAAGAAAACCTGATCCTTTAACTTTGTTGGAAGTGACAGAACACAGCTGAGAATTTTCTAGGCTGGACAGTACTGGACTGGATGCCAATATGACATTGTAGGGGTTGGTCTAGAAAACTGTTAACGACTGAATTTGGGGCAGCCTGCATTGTCCTGCAAAAGATAGCACTTAGACTAGAGTCAGGCATCTCGTTGACCCCTAACTACAATATGATTTAACATGGACACTTGACTGCCAGACAGTGGTACACAGAGATGAGAAGAAACTTACTCCATGTGGTGAAGGTACAGAGATATCTTCTAGCTAACAGCAGAACTGGGGCCTTGATGACCAATTTAAAATGCTTAATAACATAAAATTTCAGGGCTAGTGATGCCACAAAAATCAGGGTTCTCCTGTAGGTGAAGCAGACTTAAAACTCAAAAATGGTAGACAAATGACCACACTTCCATCAAGGGAAGAGACAAGGGAGGCACTGGAGGGGTCCACCTCCAAGGACCTCAAAACTATGTAGCAGTCAACAGGAGCTTATTGATGGAGGACTGGTACTAGAATTCTACTATGTACAACTGACCCATGAATTCTCCTTGTTTTTGACAGCATCACATGGTGACTGGGTCATTTGGTAAAGAAAAGGCTGAAACTGCCCAGACTAGCCCAAGCTGATGGAGAAGGTGTCCCGTACATTAAAGATGTCAAGTTCAAATATGAGAAACGTGCCTGCAGCCAGCAGAAGGCCCTTCCCACGGGCAGCTTCCCTGGAGACTACTCAGCCACAAGTGCAGCATGGATAGAACACCAGAACACAGAGGGTATGCTTGGGGTATCTGATCACTTCATCCATTTGGCTCAAAGTTATCTTAACAGTAATTGCAAGGCAGAACTCATCTGAAAGAACTTCTTGGTGGAATGCACTCAGACAAGGATGGGACCTTAGAATTGCCTGTGATAGGAAGTACCTAGCAGGAGTCTAGAAACCTAAAACCATGGCCCACCATTTCCAGGTTAATCCTCATGTGTAGAGATTTATCTAAATCCTGTAAAATATGTACAGGACACCTTCTCTGGGGGGAAAGGAGTGGTAGAGTCAGCATATGGCTTTCCTAGGGCGTGTCTATGATCCAGGAAAAAGGCCATATGGTTTTCCCTTTCTCTTGGCTGTTTGGAAGGTTTTGGGCTCCCCACTGATCTTTTCTTTGGAAATCAGACATCAGGGACAAAACCCGCAAGAACACATCTGGCTAGCCGCAGATACTGCTGGGGGACACACAAAAGAAGCTACAGGAAGGTACCAGCATAGGGATGGAGGTCTATGGTGGAATGACGACAGCAGGGTAAGAACAAAACAGCTGGCCTTCCTGCGGAAAGCCATACCTGGCCCCATAATTAGGTGGTGGTTTGAAACTTTACCCTTGTATAAAGCAAGGAAGGAGAGAGGGACAGAGCAAATCAGGCTATTCCATAGAAATCATAATTGCTCATCGGAGAACTGATAAGGGAAACATGTCTTCAAATGCAGACAGTGTTTCAAAGGAGGAGAACAGAGCCAGCTTGGGAAGCAAAAGGAAAAAGCACTCAATCCTGACTCATTAGAAGAGGACAGGGGAGTTTCAGCAGTGAGTCCAGAACGGGGCACTGGGACCTCAGGCTATTGGGTGGTAAAAGGTCTTCAAGTGAAAAGTGTCAGCCTCTCTCTGAGTAATGACACTGGAAAACCAGAGAGCTGAGAAGAAAAAACGCTGAGATAAGAAGTAAAAATCTCAGGAAGAATTCAAAGACTGCCAGGGAAACCTCCACCTCGATATTAATCTGCAGGTTTCCTGTGTATTCCCCACCCCGCCTGTTTCCTCCCTGGATCCAGTTTCCCTTTCCACCCCCATCCTCTGTATGTAAGCAGAAAGCAAGCCTCAAAGAGGTTGTGAGTCTGTGGACAGAAGGTTTGGGTGCCTGAGTTTTTCCATCCCAATGGTTTAGTTAGACTGAGGCTGGGGGAAAGGGATCAGAAACTTTTAAGCACATTAACATGTGAGGAATGACTATAGAATTATAATTCATTTGTTTAAACCTGGATTTCTCAACCTTGGTTGTACTGACATTTGGAGACAGACAATTCTTAGTTTGGGAAGCTGTCCTAAGCAATGTAGGATGTTCAGCACCGACCCTGGCCTCTATCCACTAGATGCCAGGAACTCCCCAGTTGAGACAACCAAAAAATTTCGAGAAATTGCCAAATTGCCAATCCCTAGTTTAAACTAAACTACCAACATTTATTCATCCAGATAGGAGTAGTTAGTTCAGAGTCATCATTTTAGCAATTATACGTTTATTTCAGTGATGCTGTCATTCAAAAAAAATTTTGAGCTTTTCTTCACAAAATGATTTCAGAGTTTTTCAGAATGTCATTTAAGTGGCTCTAAGGGAAAAAAATCTTTGTCTACTACTTCTAAAAATCAGGCCATAACCAATTATAAGTTAAGAATGATTCTGGGGGGAGCGCCTGGGTGGCTCAGTCGTTAAGCGTCTGCCTTCAGCTCAGGGATCAAGCCGCATCAGGCTTCCTGCTCAGCGGGGAGTCTGCTTCTCCCTCTCCCTCTGCACCTCCCTCTGCTTGTGCTCTCTGGCTGTATCTCTCTGTCAAGTAAATATATAAAATCTTAAAAAAAAAAAAAAAGAATGATTCTGGGGGTGTCTAGATGGTTCAGTCAGTTAAGTGTCTGACTTTGGCTCAGGATCTCAGGGTCTGAGCCTCGAGTTGAGCTCCCTGCTCAGCAGGGAGTCTGCTTCACCCTCTCCCTCCCCCCCTCTCTGCACCTACCCCCAACCCCCCCTCAAATAAATAAATACAATCTTTAAAAAAAAAAAAAGAATGATTCTGAAGGTAAATGGATGAAGCTGAGCTCCACCTTGTTGAGTGGGGTAGGAAGCGGGGGCAACAGAGTCGCTTTACTCATAATTTACTATTAACATTTTCAACATGCTTTGTAACATTAAGACAATTAAAAAAAATCCAGAAATGTTTAGTCATAGAAATGTTAGTGGAATAAATGTATAGTAGCCTGAGGTAACTGAGGAAACACTCATTTATATGTATATTCCAGCATATTAGTTTAAATCTTTTTCTCTATCATCTACCGTGAACTCCAATTAAAAGAAAGTGAATTTAGAACCTGAAATAGACTCAGTGAAAAATGATTTCAAATGATAGATTTTCAATGTTGCTAATTACCATACAAGTATGTGTGAATGTACAATACACACACACACACACACACACACACTGCAGAAGCAAAATACATTCCATACAAGATGTCCAACATGTATTTTTGTCTACTACAAATCTGTCATTTAAAAAATATATATGCTTCTTCTTGGGATTTCCTTTATCACTCCCCCCACTTTTTTTGGCCATTTCTATTCCATAGCTAGGTTGTATAAATTGTCTCAGGAATGAAACAGAACAGCAGAAGGCAGAGAAACAGAAAGTTTTATCCCAGCTTAGGAGTTAGGAAAGCTTAGGCACTTTAGCCATACAGAAGAACAGAAGGACATAAACAAGAGCTCTGAGAGGAAACATCTGAGGTTTCCATGCCTCCTAGCACAGAAAAGCAAGCTTCAGGACTGATGGAGGAGGAGTAGGAGGGAAAGCAATTAGTGCCGATCTCAAAGAGAAGGGCAAGAAGCCCCGGCAAGATGTCAGGTAGGCTTATGGGAAGAGGGAACAGGAGTGGTCAGGCTCAGTTGCCTGGGTAGAGGGGGAAGAGGTGGGTGATGGGGCCTCAGGGTGGTGTAGAGCATTTCTCTTCCTCGGGCATGGAGAGGAGCAGCAGAGACACTTCTGAGTATCCTCGATAGACCCGGAAGAACTGCAGAAGAGCTGTAGAAAATGAAGGAGTCATGCAGCTAGCAACAGCAGAGATCTGCGGGGACAAGTGGCCAAAGAGCTGATGCGACCTTGGATGTCTCAGGGGATAGCCATGTAGACAAAGGACATCAAGGACTAAAGGGCTCCTCCTTCCAACTAACTTGATCTTACATAAGCTAGTTTTAACTTGCTGAGGGGGATGGAGTGGAGTAGCCATATTTAGAATTGCTTGAAATAGGTTCCTGCCACCCAAAAGAATAAAGAAACCTTTATTAAAAAAATTAAAATTAAGCTATAAAGAAATACAATTTTGTTCTTACATAGCTGACTTTGTCAGTTGAGGTTTGGAGCCATTTACTTCAGGTATGGAATCAGGTCACTACAATTTTTCCCATTTTCCTATCCCTTATCTCATCGGTTGACAGGCCTGGTTGAAAATCAGAATTACCTGGAGAGAAATCTGGATTCAGTTAGTATATTTGGGGAGATTCTGATGATGGGCCAGGTTTGGGAACCTTTCTCAATGCTGCATAAGCCATTCTCAGACACAACACCCACAACATGAGGAAATGGCATAAAATTCGTGACAAAGGATCCAGTTAATGAATGTCACCTGGATATGATAAGACATCTGGGTCAAGAAGGGCAGGAACAGGAGACGCAATCAATACTGGAAAGTTTTCTCTGGTGATGCAAAACATCCCATAAGAATGTGAAATCTGATAGACCTTTTAGTCAGCACATACACCCAAGATATAAGGAAACTAACCTCCTATTTTGAGAGTGAAATAAGCTTGAAGTTCCCAAACATTTGGGAAAGGGAAAATCACTGCTACATCTTAGGTCTTGGTAAATCACAGAAAATTAGAATATTAGCCTTGCCTTTTAGGCAAACAAAACTGACCACAAATATCAAATAAAGAAACTATCTAACTTTCTGTTTTGCAAACAGGAATGTTATGGTATCAGGGAAGAGATTTGTCTGTAAGAGAACGCGCAGTTGGAAGTGGCTTAAGCAGTAAGAGGATGAGTTCTAGAAAAAGAGGTCTAAAGGTAGGGAAATGTCGTCTTCTGAGTTGATTAATATCTGTCTTGTCATTTTGGTGGAAAAAGATAGTGGCAGTCATTCCAAATATCACATTCTCATACACCTTCATCCAGATCAGTAAAGGGGCCTTTTCTTTGTGTCTCCTTTTTAGGAGCTTCGAACCCCTTCCCAATGCTCCCCAGAAGCCCTTGAAACATCCCTTCCCAGAGGTGCATCCCATGCCAATATCTAAGTCAAGCACTGAGAAATGACAGGGACCCCAGTGGTTTCTCTAGGGTAATTGGTAGTGCGTTTACCACACAGTGACATGGGGGAGCACAGGGCTTCAGAGAGGAAGAGGAGCCTGAAATAAGAGCAGAAAGTGGTAATCCCACAAGGAAGAAGAGATTAACTTTGAGAAACAATGTCGGCTGAAACTGTGCGTTGAAGAGATTACTCTGTAGTGACATTTCTAATATGGACTGAAGCTCTGAGAGTGAGCCCAGCCACCTAAGTGCTGCTTGTCCTGCTGATAGGTGCTCAGGATAAGCTAATCATGACTTTGTTTAAATAAGACATGGTTACTATGTTAAGCACACTTTGCAGCACCACAGAAGACTTTCTAGTGACTTTTATATATCTGCTATTTAGAATTATCTTGGGCCACCGTCTCTTTGATGATGCAGATGACACACTCTAAATTCATAAACACAGGACAGCATAGGGTTGAACTCAAAAGGGTAACTGTTATGCCACTTCCACGAACTTAAGTTTTTCTGACTGCTATACAGCATGTTTAAATAAAATGGGTGTTTCTCATTCCCAATAACAATGACCTGATAGTACGTATCAACACTCTCTCTATATGGATAGACTCAGGCCTGCCCTTTGATCAGGTTTAAGAGTTGTAATTTCCATGTCAAGCAGGACCTCAATACAAGTATCTTTACCAGCCACTGCATTCCTTACTATTCCATTATTTCATCTTGATTTCCACTTCTTTACTTCCCCTTAATAGAGGTACTTTTTTTAAAAAATATTTTATTTATTTATCTGACACAGAGAGACACAGCAAGAGAGGGAACACAAGCAGGGGGAGTGGGAGAGGGAGAAGCAGGGTTCCTGCCGAGCAGGGAGCCTGATGTGGGGCTCGATCCCAGGACCCTGGGACCATGACCTGAGCTGAAGGCAGCCACTTAACTGACTGAGCCACCCAGGCGCCCCAATAGAGGTACTTTTTAATATCAGATGCCTCAGGAAAAGATAACACTATACATGCAAGACCCACCAGACTAACTCAGATTACACTTCTGTTTGGCTTGAGCTCTGCAATTTTATCAGTAGTCATGAGTTTGAGCAAAGAAGCAGGTAAACTTTAGACGTTAACAACTTCAACATATTAATATGACAAGAAACCAGTGATATTGGGGCGCCTGGGTGGCTCAGTTGGTTAAGCGACTGCCTTCGGCTCAGGTCATGATCCTGGAGTCCCGGGATCGAGTCCCGGGATCGAGTCCCGCATCGGGCTCCCTGCTGTTAGCAGGGAGTCTGCTTCTCCCTCTGACCCTCCTCCCTCTCATGCTCTCTGTCTCTCATTCTCTCTCTCTCAAATAAATAAATAAAATCTTAAAAAAAAAAAAAAAAGAAAGAAACCAGTGATATTAGCAACAGGCTCCAGCAGGAAACAGAAGTCATGCAAACCGTTAGCACAATGCTAAGCATGCTGTATATCGTGCTTACTGTCATTCTTGTGATAACAGAGGGCTTCCCAATCTAAGCAGAGCCATTAGTATCCTTGCCAATCTCTGGCCCCAATCTAGCATTTATCACTGGAAACACCAAGCAAATTTAGACAAGACTCAGAGAACATTTAGGGTAAATAAAGAACCTGCTTAAAGTATTAGCAGGTATAAAACTCTGTCCAATGCAGTAGGGAACAGGACAATGAAGACGGGAACCCTGCCCTCAGATAGCCTCAACCCATGGAAAGATTCTAGAAAATGGGATGAGTAAGTCTGAGAAAAGCATCCAAAAAACCGTACAGATGGAAGTGACCACCAAGACCAATAGGACTTGATTCTCTGTCACAAGAAGTGAGGAATACCTCAAGGACAGTTTAATTCCTATTTGTAACCTATGTCCTAGAACAATGCCTTGAGTAAAATCAGTGCTTGATAAGTATCTGCTGAATGAATTTTGAAATGTTGTAAACTCAGAAAAAAAAAAAAAGGCAAGGCAAAGGGGCCAGACCAAATACCCCACCCCTTAGGTCTTCTCCACTTCTTTCCAATAAATGCCATACTCCCCTCATTCATTTTCTGTTCAAACCAAAGGTAGTTTTTGAGCATTTGTTACTGTGCAAGAAAGTGCTGAGCAGGATACAATATCATTTTAAAACCGTGGTCCCTCAATTCAAACAACTTTCGATTTGGCAGGAAAAATAATTGCCTACACAGATATCTAAAATGCAAAGCAGAACACTGGGTCAGGCAAACAGCTGACAGAGAGTACTACACCTTCTAGGAATGAAGGCTCACTTCTGGCCCATGTGACCAGGAAGAAATGCATGATGGAGGGGAGGATATATGACCTGAACTTTGAGAGTAAGATTTCAATAGGCAAAAATGTGTGCACCTGGCAGAGAGTAGGGACATGCACTGCAAGCAAAGGGACCTCCAAGGGAAAACTCATTCATTTGTTTACTCAACTAATACTATTGCTTTTTTTCTTTTTATTGGATAGGATCGATTGATTTTTACTTATTAAGGTATAATTGACATACAACATTATGTTAGTTTCAGGTGTACAACATAGTGATTTGACGTTTCTATACATCATGTAATGGTTACCACAATAAATCTGGTTAGCCATCTGTCATCTTACAAAGTTAATACAATGCTATTGACCATATTCCCCATGCTGTACATTATATCCCTGTGACTTACTTATTTTATAACTGAAGTTTGTACCTCCTAACCCCCTTCACTCATTTCACTCCCCCATTCCCCTCCCTGTGGCAATGACCAATCTTTTTTCTGTATCTATAAGTCTGTGTTTTGTTTTTTTTTAGATTCCACATATAAGTGAGTCCATGCAGTATTTGTTCTTCTGTGTCTGACTTACTTCACTTAGCACAGTACCTTCAAGTTCCACACACACAAACACATATATACACCATATCTTCTTTATCCATTTACCTGTTGATCATTGATGAACTTAGATTACTTCCATATCTTGTTTTTTTTTACTAGATATGATTGATTTTTATTTATTGTGGTATAATTGACATACAATATTATATTAGTTTTAGATGTACAACAATGATAAGTAATGCTGCAGTTAACATATTTTTTTTATATCAGTGTTTTTGTTTTCTTCAGATCAATACCCGGTAGAATTGCTGGATTATATGGTAGCTCTGTTTTTAATTTTTTGAGGAACCTCTACTGTTTTCCATACTGGTTAAACCAATTTATGTTCCCACAACTGTACTCAAAGATTTACTCTTCTTCACATCCTGGCCAATACTTGTTATTTTTTGTCTTTTTGATGATAACCATTCTGATAGGTGTAAGGTGATACCTCACTTTGGTTTTGATTTCAGTTTTCTTGATGATTAGTGACGTTGAGTGACGATGATTTGTGTGTCTTCTTTGGAAAAATGTCTATTCAAATCCTCTGCCCATTTTTAATTGGATTGTTCATTTTTTACTGAGTTGTATGAGTTCTTTATACATGTTGGATATTTATTTCTTATTGGATATATGATTTGCAAATATCTTCTCCCATTCAGTAGGTTGACTTTTCATTTTGTTGATGGTTTCTTTCACTCTGTAGAAGCTTTTTTTTTTTTTTTTTTTTTTTTTAAGATTTATCTATTTTAGAGAGAGAAAGCGAGCCAGGGGAGGGGCAGAGGGAGAGGGAGAGGGGAAGCAGACTCCCCACTGAGCAAAGAGCCCGACACAGGGCTCAGTCCTAGGACTCCAAGATCACCACCTGAGCCAAAACCAAGAGCTGGACGCTCAACCGACTGAGCCACCCAGGTGCCCTCTGCAGAAGCCTTTTAGTTTGATGTAGTTCTGTTTGTCTACTTTTGCTTTTGTTTTCCTTCTTGCCTTTGGAATCAGAACCAAAAAACAAAACAAAACATAGCTAAGGCTGATGTGAAGGAGTTTACTGCCGATATTTTCTTCTAGGAGGATTATGGTTTCAAGTCTTAACATTCAAGTCTCTAATCCATTTTGAGTTGATTTTTGCATAAGGTGTAAGATAATGGCCCAGTTTTCCCAATACCATTTATTGAAGAGACAGTCCTTTCCCCATCATATATTCTTGACTTCTTTGATCATATATGTGTGGGCTTATTTCTGGACTCTCCACTCCCATTGATCAATGTGTCTGTTTTTATGCCAATATCATACTGTTTTGATTACTATAGCTTTGTAGTATAGTTTGAAATCTGAGTGTGTGATAACTTTGGTTTTGTTCTTTCTCAAGATTGTTTTGGCTTGTCAAGGTCCTTTGTGGTTCCATACAAATATGATTATTTGCTCTAGTTTTGTGAAAAATGTCATTGGAATTTTGATAGGGATTGCACTGAATCTGTAGATTGCTTTGGTAGTATGGACACTTTAACAATATTAGTTCTTCCAATCCATAAGCCCAGGATACGTTCAGTTTCTTTCTTCAATGCCTTATACTTTTCAGTATAGAAAAGATCTTTC